ATTGCGCGGTTAAAATACAAGCTAATACAGTTTTAGAGTAAAAGCCTTACAAACACACAAGCAAATGCATATGTAGACCTCCTTAATCGATGCTTACAAATAGCAAGAGCTAGTCAAGATACATCTTTTTTTTTTCTGGAGACACGAGAATAATAAGCCCGGGCGTCTTCATGAATAATCACGTATGAATAATTGCAAAGTTAACAATTTACTTACATTTGCGTTTTCGCCGTTTCTTGTCCTCCACCCTCTCCTCGTCCATAACTTGTTATATCAACCAGTACGGAAGTTTCAAGCGACCAAGAGCGCACAAATCTCATGTCTCGGGCTCGGAGTTTTGCATAATTAAGGTCTCGGGCTCGGTTTTCTCTACACAGAGTCTCGGGCTCGGATTTTCTGAAATCGTGTAAGTCTCGGTCTCGAATTTTTAAACAACGGTCTCGGCGTCTCGGCAAGTCTCGGATTTTACCATTCGCCACCCCTACTAGACACGGCTTCTGACTAGCTAACCGCGAACTTGGGTACGGTAAGAAATAATATCAGCGCTACCTGGATCACAGATCTAGATTACAATCGATTTCTAATTGCTGGGCATTGGGACTCCCTGTATCAACAAATTCAACAAATCCATTTCCTCTACATGCTCTACTTATATTCTTGCAATTCCGGTGCCACGGGTTCATTGTTGTCTACCTGGCCACGAAACGTCCACGGCGTCATTGGAATTTCAAGTCACGGGCGGAAAAAAATGGCGGTCATTGCAAGACATATTTTATTTTGTCTAAAGTCAGTTCTCTCTTTCCAAACTTTGATGCCGGCAATGCTTGGCAAATGGGCCACAACTCACAAGAAGGCTATTTTCTTGGGCAAGAACTGTTCTTGGATTTTGCTGCCTGAATCGATCTGACCTCAAACCCGATAACTTGATTTTATCTACGTTGGAAAATCAAGATCCACTTTGCCACTTTAAAACGTGTTGATGCCTGATTACGGGTCCATCAAGGCTTTATGATGCTTCTCAAACACCAGGCAGGCATGCAAAAAGAACACTTAAGATGTTAGTTGACAGAGCTTTATAGCATCATCTCTTTTCTGCGGTTCGATGGTATTTCCTTTGAAGCTCGATCTATCTCACGTGTTGTGTTCCACGTCACAAAAGCCGATGAAAACAATCTGTTTCCTAGATTTCCGCTCTATTTTCTATCAGTAATTTGATTTACGAGGAAGACAGTTAAGATTCGGAGAGATTTGATTTTGTTTTAGACACTGTAAACAGAAGCTACATTTATGCACCGTATTGGGATACGCCGCCGCCATCGTTGCTTCAGAGAAAGCTATCTTAATCCAGGGATATTTTCTTTCAACAATTTGCAAACGAGCGAAAAAAGTCCAGGTCAATGTTTTGAATATAATTTACAGTCAATTTACCGAGAATGAGGTACATAAGAACCAGAAAAAAGAAACACGGCCTAAAATTTGACATAAGGCGGATATGCATACGGCCCTTCAATTGTACGTAAAGTTGCGATCTCAAAGCTAACCCGATGTAGCATTTGCACGGAGTTTTCATGATATTTACGCTTTTGATTTACGTGGTTATTTGGTACGTTTAAACGGAGGTTGTCTGCAAAGGAATGATTTTTGGCTTTTTCCGAGCTCGAGGTCTGTGATGTAGCTGTGTTAGTGGTTTAAAGAACACTCGATAGACCAGCCGATAATTAGCAGCTGATGTCGACAAGATCAGACTACACGAAGACCAAAAGAGAACCTGCTTACATCTCGAAAGCACACAGTTACAGAGTGTAGCTACGCGATGGCCAGCTGAAAAATCACTTCTGCGGGCTAAAGCACTCACCAACCAGTTAGCCCGCTGTTAGCCTTAAGTCATTGTATATAAGAGGAAATAAATCATCTTGCATTAATAATACACAATCTGGCCGCCACGCTGCAGAATCGATTTCGACTGAGATTGTTTGTGACAATGCACCGATTCACAAATCAGGTCAAATTACATTTCAAAATCCTTCCATTTCGGACAAGCTAGTCTACACCGAACTATTCTACAGTCGCGAGACAGAATCGGATGCCAACTAAAGACCGAATTTAAACAATGAAAATTTGGTGCGTGAAGGTTCTTGAAAATGAAACCGAAGCTGTGACAGGCTAATTTCGGCAAAGAACTGTGGTCAGGGAAGTGTGGTTAGGGAACACACCAGAAAGTTGTCACCAGGAACACAAAGAAAACAAAATAACACAATGCCAACAAGAGGTAAGCCACTTTTATTCACATTATTTTCTACATGTTCTCATTTGAAACAATTTTCGAAGCGTCGTTCAGACGATTGTCTCAAACGGCTGAAATCGTAACGACTAAGTCGCTAAGGTCGCTAGATTAATCAAGACGACACCCCATACAGCGACATCAATGCGAGAGGCATTCATTCACATCTCCAATATTAGAACACTTTGACACACAAGGACATTTTAAAAGTAAGTCTGTCAAATCGTTTCAGTTTCATATTTACTGCCTTTAATCTTATAGAAACTCTTCGACAAACTCGTTTAATAAAGCTAGGGGAATATTAATAATCAATCGGTGCATTTCTTCCAACCCCATTGCCCTATTCACTGTAAGTAAAAAGGTAAACATTTATAACTGTTGTCGTTTTTTGCTTTTTAAAACTTTTCCTCTAGCATAAGGCGCGTTTGAACTACTGCGGAATATAGATTTTTAAGTCTGGACCATTCAAGCATTTTTAAAAAACTTCTGTAAAAAAAACAACAAACTTTTGGAATGCTTTCTTTGCCTGTACATATCACGTAAAGAAAAATCTCCTAGCTGTTGAATCTTTTGACGAACGTCATGTCCTCTGTCACCTTCTTCTTTAGTCAATTTAGGCCACTTCTCCCTTTTACAGGCTAGCTCTTTAAAAAATACCCTGTTTTAACTTTGTTTCCGAACGAAATTGTATTGGTTGAGTTTTCCGACGAGACTACATGTATCGTTTCCTGTCAACAAATTTAAGCTACGATGGGGAAGTGACAGCTGCTGCACTGCTCGTTTTCTTTAAGATGAAAAGTGCTTTTTATGTGCTCTAATCCCATCCGATAAACGCAATTCTGTCCAATTATCTTCAAAATTAATGTGTTAGACACAGTTTATGTAAGAAGATATGCATATAAGTCATGTAGTGGAGTGCACTTAAGCAAAGGGAATAGACAGAGTTCTGTTGGAAATTGAGGAATAAAGCTGTTGATACCCCAGGTAGGGCTTCAAAGGTTAACGAGAAAAGTAAAATGTAAGTTGATGATTGGTTGCTATTCACAATACTTGAAATACGGAATATTGCAATGTTTATCCATGTTATTTCCTGTTTATTCTTCAGGCTCATTTGATGTTTGGATGTGTTCAGATAATGTAAAACGCACATGATCTCCGCGGAAAATATGTTTTCTTTGTCTCCCTTCTCTTCTTAGATGGCATGATCCACAATTCGCAGAGAAAGACAATCGTACTCTTTTAAACAGGTCTTTCAGCGCGGCATAAAAATCTGGTCGCAGCAGAGTGTACAATAGCGGATTTATGACAGATGTTAGATACCTGACAAGAGTAAAAACATGGGCTGGCATTTCAAGAGCTTCAGGTTCAATTTTTTGCCAGTATAGTAACTGTAATAAAAACCATGGAAACCAGCAAATTGAAAATGCAGTTGCCATTGTAACAAATAGCAAAATGCTCTTCCTCTCTCGAGCAAGTTTCTTTTTGTGCCTTTCTTTCGTTTCGTTCGTTCCACTTTGTCCTGCGCCACTGGCAATGGCCCTAAAAATCTTGACAAAGGCGTACATCATAAATATGTACGGAAAGAAAAACACCACTACAAAGCAGGAGATGATGTAGCCTATAAAGTACTTAGCTCCTTCAGGATGTTTAGTTTTATCAATCCATGTAAAGGGAATGAATCCGATGACAGCGGAAATGAACCAAACCATTAGCAAAGCCTTTATAACTGTTGTTTTTTTGATAAGACGGTGAGTTATTGGCCTGATAATGGACAAGTACTTTTCCAAAGTGGCGATTGCTATGTGATAAACTGATATAATTGCTGTTAGTGTATGTACAACCGTCAAAAGAAACCCCAGGTGAAAGCGCACTGTGTTTGATGAAATGATGGGAGTGAAAAACACAAAGATAAACAGAGGAATATTCAGTGCTCCAGTCATGAAGTCGTTAACAGCCAAACTAAAAAGAACGTAGTTTGCTGGCGTTCTTAGCTTTTTCGTTTTGAGAAAAACGAAGAAAACTAACATGTTTACAACAAGAACGACTAATGCAATAGGAACCAGTTGAGCTATCCCCTTGACGTTTATCTCCATCAGACGAGCAATCGTTTGGTTTGTTTGACGCGATGTTTCATAGATCATTTTCGCTTTGTATCCTGTTTGGTGGGTTGGTTTATTCAGCGTTGTACTTTTTCAAATTTCACTGGATTAGCACTGGATTGATCAGTCTCTCGTTAGTCACCAAACTAACTTAATTTAGCTCAGCAAGATATACTGAAATTGTTCTGCTCAGCTTTTGTCATTCTCTATAACTGAAGAAGGTAACGAATCGAAACACATCAGTAACCCACAGTGATTTTACCATGTTGCCAAACGCTGCGAAAGATATTGGTACTCCTGTTTGTCATCATGATCCTGAGACTTGTTACAAGACTTGTGTTCCCTATAAGCGCAACCAGCTTTCTGGTAACACTGCAAAAGAAAACAAAATGATTAATACGATCAAAATTATTTCTTTCACAGCTTTCCACAGATACAAAATTTTGCAAAACGTCAAGTTCTCAGAGAGTCTTATATCTGATGAAACTAAAACCCCAGAAGAATAGGTATTTCTTGAAGAAGAGGCTATTGAAGAAGAAAACATTGGAACGGCTGATGAAAGCTCGTCTAATCAGACTAGGACAGAATCGTTAACACTTATCATACTGTTGTCACATTCACAGTTGGCAGAAATCCCACAAAGAGTGGTCAAGTGAAGACACATGGGATGCTATTGCACAGAGGTAAAAGCAAAGGGAAAGCTTATGCATGGGAAACCATTCCACTCGCCTTAAAAAAAGCATTACAGGCTCAGTACAGTATTCTCAATCCTTAAGCGAAGCGTTTCGCTAGAGCAGACAAGAGGAGATTTGTTGAAAACGTTGTAACAGAAGTAAAAGCTGCTCCCCAGCGTCAGGAGCAAGGCAGAGTATACAGGATCACAAAGCAACTTTGACCTTCACAAAGTTGCTTTGTGATCCTGTACACTCTGCCTTGCTCCTGACGCTGGGGAGCAGCTTTTACTTCTGTTACAACGTTTTCAACAAATCTCCTCTTGTCTGCTCTAGCTAAACGCTTCGCTTTAGGGGAAAGGCACCTATCTGCGACAAACAAGGTGCATTACTGACAACTGAGAAGGAACAGAAGGAGCGATGGGCAGAACACTTTTAGGAAGTACTTATTAACAAGGAGGTCTCGGAGAAACCAGCTGTCACCTGAGAATGATCACGATATCAGCACCCAACCTATTAAATAAGACATCATGAAATCCATTACAGATCTTAAGAATGACAAAGCACATGGACAGGATCGACTTCATTCTGAGCTCTATCAATGTCATCCAGAGATTGCAGCAGAGATTTACTCCCACTCCTATTCTTTGCTAAGGTATGGAATGGTGATGGATGCCAAGTGACTGTAGCAAAGGTGTTATTATACCAACTCCCAAGAAGGTTGCACTCAATTATTGTAACAATTTGCGAGGATATCACACTAGTATTGTTTTATACCAAGTAAAATATTTTGTAAGGTCATTGTCCAACGACACATGTTCAGTTTGAGAAACATCTTTGAGCAGGGCACACAGAGAGAGTTTACCGAACGTGTACCGAGCATAAAGCGGCTCATATTGTCCATATTTAATCGAGGCAAGGTATTTAATTTGAGCTAGTAAAACTTTATTACTACACTCTCCTCGGCATACAAAGCATCACTTCCGCTTTATAGTTGAATCTAAGGCTTCTTGAACTGATTAAAAATTTCATTTGAACCACTCCACTTCACATTTAAACGATAGGTTTAATACATGAATGGAAAGAAAACACCTATCCGAGATATTACAAGTAGTAATTTTCTTTCACTTCGATGATAAAGCTGGAAAGGATACATGCACTTGTTCTCAAGCTTTGTGTTTGTATTATAACTAGTGTACGCGCGCCATCAACTTCTCAACCATGTTTGAATACTAACGAAATGCTACAACTATAAATATGATGCGAGTAGACTGTAATTAGCACCAGATTTTGCCGTCTAGTCTCTGTTGCAATGTACGTGTTCTAAAACTGAAATGAAGCCTCTCCGAGTTAGATTAATTGTAAAACATATTTCACAGAGCTAACTCTCCAAACCCAAGAGGTGCGCATTAAGATTACTGAACGGAGATTATGACTCTGACCGCAGACTCGATACTAAGCTTTTGGTTCAAATGAGACAAAGAAGTGGCACAAGAATTTGACAATATTATAGTACTCCTAACAACAATAAAAGATCTGGCATACCGAAGGGTGTGTGAATTCTTCAGGAGTAAGCTTGTATGACTGTGGCAGCTGTCAACAATCAGGTGAACCTCGCGTGAAGTAATAATTTTCGTCTTTTCGATTTGCATTCATAAAAAAAATATAATCGAGTATAGTATAAATAATTCAGTCAGCTATTAATTATAAAACGAACTTCGAAATTGGCGATCAATGCTTTAATGATACATCGTTATATACTAAGAAATCATTCTTATTACCTATTTAAGTAACACATTGAACACCGACAAGGGATATTGAAATTACGGCATGAATTCGATTCGACGTTTATGGAAATGCTATGACTGCTGTTCGGTTCAGTGCGCATGATTGACCAGCCTTGACAGATGTTCTCATTCCAAAAACAAAACAAAACAAAACCAAACCAAAAAACCCGCGGGGGTAAATGAGAAATAAAATCTTAAAACTCTATCAATATTAAGATCTAGAATCTAAACTTACTTTTCTTTCCTATGATTAGGTGAACTATTAGTTACTTTGAGAAAGTGTCATCATGATTTGTGGAATCAGTACGCTACGTGAAAGTATGTTCTTTAAAATTTGTAAAGTATGTGAGCCATTTCCGCTATTTCACACTATAAGAAGCTCAAAAAAAATTAAAGAACTTAAAGCAATTCATATGATTGCGGTGAAGATGGTTACCACAGGGTAATGAAAATCATACAGCATGTCATAACAGGAATTCAACTGATATGTAAGCCAGTGTCGGCAAGCTTTTTCCTTGTCCTTTCCATGCCCACATGCATTTTTGATGTAGTGTTTTCGTACCGAAAACTCATCAAATGCATATGTAAAGTGAAAACCCGTTAATACGACCACCTTCGGGCCATGGAAAATTGGTCCCATTAACGGGGTGGTCGTATTAAATGGGTTCTTTAAATAGGAAAATGACTGACTGAGCTTTTTTTCGGGCCAGAATAAAGTGGCCGTAATAACGAGGTGGTCGTATTAACGAGGTTGTCGAAAGGCGGGGTTTCACTGCACAGGCAACGCGTTTTTGGTCGGGTGTTTTGGGTACCAAATGGGTATCAAAACGTTCGAAAACGCTGATACGCTTTGAGAGACCACCACAACCCTCATTTCCGCATGCTGTTTATACTAACACGTTTTCAGATGTCTCAACTCTGGTGAACCTTTTTAACAATACACGCGAAAAGCGTCTTATGTCGTGTAAGTGCATTGAAAAATATATTTTTTTGGTGTTAAACATAAAACACGTAATCGAAACTTTTAATGTTTCATTCCCTAGTTATAATGACGATTTATAGGGGGCATTGGGATGAGGTGCTCTTCTCATCACACTTTTCCACACTTAGACTCGATTTTCGGCGCCCAGCTCCCTTCAATCCCCCCTACCCCCTGCTGGGGTTAGGTTAGAGGAAGCCCACTCCTTCCAATCGGAGGGGAGGTCCAACTCTCTTCTCTCTCTGACACCATCAGGGCAACTAAGCAGTTCCTGGCCGATACTTCACCCCGTGATAATGTGAAACGTTTACGATCTGATAATGGAGTGAATACGTCAATGACGAGTTCAGACCTCTCCTTTTAAGGAAACATATTAAGTATGAGTAATCAGCTCCCTAATCGCCCCCCTAATCGCTGCTTGTCATTTTGTCCTGTCAAACTCGCATTCGTGTAAACAAACTAGAATCGTACGATGTTTGAAGTTCAGGCCCAATTTGGTTTCTACTCGAGTGATACTATGGCGAAACAGCGACAAAAATGCATACTACAGAACAAAACCAAATTGGATGCTCGAACTTCTGCTGGTTATGACAGGTCCAGCCCAGTATTTCTGGCGTATTTTCCACACCAAAATACTATCCGATGTGCCAAGTTGTTCACTGAGAGGCTTGACAATATTGATGGAAGTGTTGAATTGTTCTCTAATTCTGCAAAACCAGAAGAACTTGAAAAACCAAACCATGAAAATGAGGATGTCAATGTTAGTGTCACCTGTCAGAGATCGTGTCAGACCAAAGCACGTTTATAAAAACAAATTGTTGCTGTGTAGAACTTTGAGCTGAACTGCATTTGATAAAGTTTATAAAAAGTGCTTATGTGTGGTGTTCTTCAGAGACGCTTTGGGAAAAACCCCTTCATCAGTCACAAATGTTAAAGGAAAAGGTCACTCTAAAAAGCTTACGTTTTGACTCTTCCCATATCAAGAAAACATTGAGCTTTTCCACTCACCAAAGAGTTCCTTCTTCTAGGGGCTCCTAGACTCCACGAGAGCAGCTAAACATTGTTGATCATGATATCCTCAATAGACTGCGAGCAGCCTTTCTTTTGCTCGGAAATCCATGGGAACGCAATGAATAAAGCAAAATAAGTGTGACTGCGAGTGTGACATGCGAGAGGGCGCGGGCGGTTAGCGGCTTCCCATATTATGCTCGCACGCTCACCACCCACCGTTCGCGGGAGCTGCGTTCTTCTTTGCGTTCTCCCCCACGGAATTTCTAGCAAAAGAGAGACTGTTCGCGGTCTATGTCCTCAACCAAGAAGTTTGCTTGTAACGTCAGAGAACAGTTGTTTCTTTGTTGACTTGATTATGATGAACCATTTCGAAGGGATTTAGTGACAATATATTACTCAGGTTTTTCCGTTTGAATCACTCAACTAAGTTTAAATGCTTTCAGTTCGAATTAAGGGGCCAGTAGGTAGGATTCAAACGTGGCGACATTTCCCCTACGTGCGTTATACTTGATTTAAAATTTAACTCGTCGATCATAACATAAACATATAAACATTACGGGTTAACGCACTCAGCGCGAGTGAATTATCGGGATTTACCCGCACGAGTTCACTAACGAGTATTGAAAAGTTCGAGTTCATTGTTAGTGAAAGAGTACAGGTAAATCCCGATAATTCACGAGCAATGAGTGCGTTAACATTTTTATTATTCAAATTGAATACACTGTACAAAGAAACACTGCACTGAAACAACTATATACTAGGTAAACCAGACAAAATGTTGATTTTAAAGTTAATACGTTTCAAAGTTGACAAAAAATTAATCATATCTTTTACAAAATATATCCGAAAACACATGAACATGGTAGTTAAATGAACACTGAATGACTTTAAAAATTTTTAAATGACTTTCTGAAAAGATTTAATACGCATGACGTCTTTCTCAACGTCTCTATTGCAATAAGTTTGAAACAAACATTAGCTTATCAACTTACTTTTTTTGTAATGTTTATGTTGATTTGACAGTCTTTGAATTCTACACGTGAAAGGAAGTTAAGCGTTGGAGAATGGTCTAAATTAGCCACCACATTCTGAACATTGTGGTTTTGACTGTTTTGTGTAAGATTTTCGATATTATTCACAGCGACTACTGCGCCGGACGTAGACTCCTTCGGAGTGGAATCATGACCGACTCTAGCAAGAATATTGGAGGATTCTTTGTACTTTTCCAGGCTTTGTTTGTCACGATACGACTTAACGCTACTCTCGCTTCTGTGGCCTGAAGTCTGCATAATTCGATGAATCGGTATAATTTCCAGCTTCATCTAGAGCAGAGATGTTTGTAGATCTAACACAATGGTTTGTGTAGACTTTGCTCAGGCTTGCAGTGAGTAATATTTCCTTCATCATGTCACCCAGTTTATTCACTCCAATCGGTGAATTTTCAAACCATATCTTGTCGCTAGAGGTAAAATTTCTCTTTGGGTTCTGAAAAAATACAGTTTGGTTAGGATTTAGGACGCTCAGAAACTTTTTGAAATATTTTACAGGACAATTTGACATTCCAGTGCTGAACATTTTTGGATCACTTTCGTCGGCTTGATCTCCGAGACCGCCTTGGTGGTTTTTCGTTTTTTCACTGACAGACATATCCACATATTTACCGTCGTTTGCATCTTTCTTAATGACAAAACCGTATCTAGTGTTAAGGATCGAAGATTTTCCCTTCCACCGCGACAAAAGTGAAGGCTGATGTTGAACCAGTTAACGCGAAGTAAACTTATCTGGGTTTCGTCGCTGAAAACTTTCGTCTCGTAGCACTTTTGGATGTCTTCTGGAGAGATAGATGGATGATGTTGAACTTTTGCAAAGCCTTGAGCTTTAAGCTGTTTTAGTTTAGCACTCAGGGATTTATTTGCAATTTTAAATAGCGGATCTCGTATGATAGAAATGCCGTCAAACTCTGGCAGTGAGTTCAAGTAGCGATCAATGGCCACTCTGATGGACTAGTACGAAGCACTGAAGCACTGAAGCACTGTAATGCTCTGTCTGCGATTTCTTTAATTCTTGATAAAATTTCTTTAACCTCTCAGGGAGAACTTCTGATGAAAGACTTTCGAAAACCTCATTTGGGTATTTTTTGGATGACTAGTCTAAAAGACAAACAAAAGAAAAAATATAATGATGACTTTGTCTAAAGCTGGCAAAACTGTTGACAACACGCAAAGACATTTCAACTAGCTAGAATGAAAAAGTTAAAATTCGCAACCTTACCTTTCAAAACAGATATTCCCCAAGCCGGTTGCTTTCTTGGTGTTTTTAGGAATTGCATCATCAATAAGAGAATCAATGTCTGCATCTGACAAATCGTCAATTTTTGAGTCAGCCGAAGCCATGCATGGTATAATGACAGTGGTGTGTTAAATTTACACCACGGCTATTACACTATGATAATGACGCCGAAATTGGATAATATTGAAACCTGATTGTAAATTTATAACAACACTCAAAGGACGGTTAGAAGGGTTGGGGTCGTAAAAAACGTTTTGAAAAAACAAGAAAAAAAAAGGGGGGG